AACAAGAGAATTCTACAGAGAACAATGGCAACTGGGTGGTGAGTTGTGTATGTAGCAAAGTCTTCTTGAAGCAATCAGTTAATACAGGGCAAGAACTCCAGCCTCTGCAGTCTTCAGCCTTTTGGAGCTTAAACTCAGAGACCTATCAGGACACAAGTCCAGGCTCACCTGCCTTAAAGAAAAACAAAAACAAACCCTGTACTTGTAAGCACAGAAGACAGAGTGAGCCTTCTCACAAATCCAAATCTGTGCCTGCTTCTTTTCTTTTCAATATTCGGTCCAACATAAAACCTTGCAAACCCACAAAACACGGGTAGCCAACTTCTCACCAGCCTTTCTGGGAAAGCTCTTTCGTATACCTCTTACAGATTTGTGAAACATTTAAAATAAAAATGCTGAATCAAGGACCTCCATGGGAAGCTGCCTGAGGCTGATGAACGTTACACAGTCAAGTTTACTCTGCCCTTCCAAAGGCTAGTCCTCTTGGACGGCACAAGCACTTCCTTCCAGAGAAAGCAGTAGGGCCTGGCTCAGGGCAATTTCATTTGCATTTCATCTGTGAGCTCTCTTACCTTTAACTTCTCAAGCCCTTGTCTGCCTAACAATGGTGTGGCGCCTCAGAACACATCCAACACCTAACTCCTTGCCTGGAATTTTTACATTGTTTGCCCAGCCTTCAAGAGTCCTGAGGTTAGACCTTATGCGATAGACATGAAGAATGTGAAGAGCCAGGGGCTTGGATCCAGGCCACTATTGCTTTGCACTTACTCTGTCTCTTGCTGTCCTCCAGCCAAGTAGCCTATCATGGGAGCCTTAGAGAGCAATGCATTTAAAGTGTGTTCCATTCTAAGACTGCAGTCTCAGAATGTTAAGCGATGTTGTATCAGAAAGAACTAGAGCCAACTCAAAAGATTTTAACGGTGAAGGTAAAGAATTATTTTTCAGAGACGGTCCCTGATCCTATTATTGGGGAACCCTCTTGGATACTGAGCTGCCTTGGGCTACTTCTGTGCAGGGGTTCTAAGTTATCTCCATGCATGGTCCTTGTTTGGAGTATCAGTCTCAGAAAAGACCCCTGTGCCCAGATATTTTGGTTCTGTTACTCCCCTTGTGGAGCTCCTGTTCCCTCCAGGTCTTTTCTATCTCTCCCTTCTTTCATAAGATTCCCTGCGCTCTGCCCAAACGTTTGGCTGTTCATCTCAGCGTGTTTTGATAGCCTGCTGGGTGGGGTATTTCAGAGGCCATCTGTGATAGGCTCCTGTCCTGTTCCTTGTTTTCTCCCTCTTCTGATGTACGTCTCATTTCCCTTTCTAGGACCAGGAACCATCTCTGACATGAATGCATGGGCTAGCACTTGGATCATCTCCACCGGACGGGGGGTGGGGGGGCAGCCTTACCAGTCCACTGGGAAAGATAATGCAGCCAGTCCTGATGAGACCTGATAGACTAGGGTCAGATGGAAGCTGGGTGGTGGGGGGGGGGGACCTCCCCTATCATTAGACTGGGGGAGGGGCATAAGAGAAGTGGGATGAAGAGTGGGATTAGGAGGGGGTAGGGGAGGGGCTACAGCTGGGATACAAAGTGAATAAACTGTAATAAAATAAATTTTAAAATTAAAATAAAAAAATTACTTCTCTTCCAATGGTAGTAAAACTTCTTACACTTCACAAATTCTCAACTGAAGTTATGATGCCACCAAAAAAAAAGCAAAGGGACCAAAGAGATACTTCTCCAAAGACAAACTGATGACCAAGATGTGCATGAAAATTGTTCACCACGAGGTATCAGGGAAATGTGTGTCACAACCGCAATGAGGTACCACTGTAGGTACTAGGATGGCTACATTAAAAGAGCCAATAGCCAAGTGTTGGCAAGAAGCCTTCATGCATAGCTACGGTGAATGTAAAACACCTGCTCTCTGTGGCAAACAATTTCGGCAGTTCCTTAAAAGGTCAAAGGTAGTTACTCTGAGAATTGAAACTTAAGCATAATTTGTGCACAAGAGTTTGCACTAACACTGTTCAAAGCAGTCAAGAAGTAAAGCAGCACGTTCATCAGCTGATGATTTTTAAACTGTGATGCATCCATGTATGGGAACAACCATTGAGGAAAGAAGCAATGATACTTGCTCCAACACGGGCAAGTCTTGAAATACGACAGCAAGAAAAGGCATCACAAAAGACATATGAGGCATATTCATATGAGGCATCCAAAGTAGTAAGTCCACAGGAACAGAAGGATGAGAGAGGCTCCCTAGCGCAAGAGAGGTGGTAGTGATGATGTTCCTTGGGGTACCTTCTTTTGTTGACTCATAAAAATGTTCTAAAACTGATTTTGGTAACAGGTGGCCAATCTGAAAGACCCTAGAAACTACTGAGCCACACACATTACAAATGTAAGCACATGGCATGAATACTCAATAAAACCGAATCTCTGTGAGTTCAGAGGTAGCCTGCTCTACATAGTGAGTTCTAGGTCAGCCAGAGCTACATAGTGAGACCTGTCTCAAAGACAATAAATAAAAATAAAAACTAAAAGGAGTCTTCTATATCCACTAAAAGTTACACCTGCAATAGTAGGTATTTATTAGAGTTTACTTTAAACCAAATCTTTCTTGATAAGGCATTCTGACTGTGACTTCTCAGCCCCTGCCTCTACCCCCACATTCTGGGATTACAGGTATCCAGCACCTTGCCCAGTTTGTCTGTGGTGCTAAGGATGGAACTCGGGGCTCTGTGTATTCTAGGCAAGCACTTTACCAACTGCTGTATCTCCTACTCAAAATCAAAGCCACTGCTTAGCAGAATTCTAATTGTTTTACAGAAGTGCATCATTACCCGTAAGCTTCTTTCACAAAGAGCTTACAATTAGCTTTATGAACTTAAACACGAAAGAAATGATGCTTTCAACTTCAGCAAAAGCATGTCTGAAGATGGATCCATACGTGTTGTGCCAGCATCAATCCACTTAAGAGACCTGCAGAAAGGAGCTGAAAAGATAGCTCAGCAGTTAAGAGTCATCTAGAGCCAGGGCCTGGTTTCAATTCCCAGCACTCACGTGGTATCACACAACTGTCGCAGGGGATCACGGGCACTACCTGTGTGTGATGCACCAGACACATATAGGCAAAACACTCATCCCTGTGAAGTAAAGGGAGGGGGAGAAACCTGGGGAGTGTGGTCAAAGAACATTATATACTTACACAAAACGGCTGAGAAGCCAGCACTGGGGCTGGGAGATAGGTCAGTGAAACGCTTGCCACACAAACACCAAAACCAGCACTCACATGAAAAGTCAGGCCATGACTGTGCTTATAAGCTCAGGATGTCTCGGTGGGCAAAGCCACCTGCTGCCAGCTCTGAGTACTGGAGTCAAATCCCTAGGACCCAGACGGTAGGAGAGTCAACTCCCATAAGCTGTACTTCAGCCTCCACATTCACAGACATAATAAATACATATACATACACATAAGTCAAATATATAAAATGTTATTTTTAAAAAAAACAGGAACCAGGAAGTTGGGGTTGTTGCTTCTGAGCAACCACCCTAAGGGTGATCTCTGCTGTCCACATACACAGACAAACCACAGCTACATACACTGAATATGCAACAATTAAAAAGAAAGAACCCCAGAATTATTCTTGTTCTTCCCTCCCTTCAAAAGCAGGAAGCCTCTTTTCTAAGCTTTAGATGGATAGGATTCTCCATTTGCTCACTATAATATCCTTGTTGTCAGAGCCTCATTTGGCACATAAAAGAGGAGTGAATACTATTTGCTAATAAATTCATGTTCTTTTTTAAATATTTATTTGTTTGTTTGTTTGTTTGTTTATTATGTATATAGTATTCTGCCTACATGTTTGCCTGCACACCAGAGGAGGGCACCAGATGTCATTATAGCTGGTTGAGAGGCACCATGTGGTTGCCGGGAATTGAACTCAGGACCTCTGTTAGAGCGGCCAGCGCTCTTAACCACTGAGCCTTCTCCCCAGCCCACTAAATTCATGTTCTAATTGGCATTAGAACCATTAAAAAAAATAAATAAATAAACCTTGATAATTCATGTGTGTGCACACACATAATTTTTAAAATGTAGACTAAAGTAGACTCATTTGACATTTCAGCTGCTGGAACACAGTAAGGCTAAATTCTCAGAGAAACATGGATATGCTGTGCTGACATTACATAGGAAACAAGACTTACTCAAGTTTGTTCTTATTTCCTGATCTAATGTGTCCTCAAAAGATATTTTCTTTTCTAAAAACTTCAATCTGAAATGAATGGACTGATCATGGCAGAAGGCTTAACCTGGAATACATGGATAGTCTTAGGAGCCCACATGTCCCTAAAGTTGTATGCAAAACCTTAACACGTGTCGTGGCCTGTGCATCTTCTTGGTGAGAGTTCACAGTTTAGTCAGGTTCTGAAAGGCGTCTATAACCCAAGAGAAGTTAACATTTTCCTTAGCTGGAAACAGACACCAAGTGGTTGAAACGAATCTGTACAATAAAATGTTATCCCAGAGCTCCATCTATGGGTAAGTAACTGTCACCTGGGAGGAACAGGGACAACCACCAGGAGCAAGGTGGCTCAGGGATGCCCCTGCTGAGACCTTCCGTGTCGCTCTAGCGTGAGTTTATTGACTACAGCATCACAGCTTCTTCTCAGGTGTAGACCCCAAAATTAGGAGGCTATTGATAAATTTTACTTACAGTACTTCAGCACCAAAAAATTGGGCAGTTATGCTGATAAATGTATATACAGTTCAACATCTGTCAGTCTTAAAATGCTTATTTATAGTGAAATTCATATAAAACCGTTAAAAACTTTTCTATTTACACTTTTAAAAAATGAAAAGTATAGTTTCCTTTGCCACAGCTTGTCAAAATTCTTACCCTCCCATCCCTTACCCTTCCCTCTACGTGTGACAGACAGCAATCACAGAACCAAAACAACACGTAAACAAACCGCATCCTAAAAAAGTAAAAACTTAAAAACAGTACGTTTAAAACTGTAAGTGAACTTTTTCATACATTTCACGGGGCTTAAACAAAAGTAAAAGTTGTTTACAAAGTCTCAGTCCAACATGGATGTGCAACTTCAGTATCAAGAAAGCATCAAATGAGCAGAGTTCACTTTCATTAACATGACTGAACATTTCCTTTGGGCTAGAAATGTCTTTTCCTCTGCTTCCTAATCAAACCTTCTCTAATCCATCTTCTTCTTAAAGGGGGAGAGGTGGGAAGGCCAAGCAATCCAGCTTCCCGGACATGTAGGAGAAGGGATTCGGTCTGCTTGGAAACATTTACATTAAATAAATAGGCAAGTGTGGAACACCACAATAAATTAGTATACAGCCAAGGAGCGCATGTACAAGCCACCCAAACATTTCCAGGTCAGTGATCTGATGTTTACCCTCCAGCAAGGACTCTTTAATGCCAGAACTTTCCTAGGTATTCATAAACTAATCATGAACTGAGCAAATATAAAATGTTAACCAAATCAACACTTCCAGGGATATGAAAAAACAACACCATTTTAAAAGAACTGTTCAGATACATCATTTAAAAAATACAAACTCTTCACATTCTTTCTTTTCTGGTGGCATTTGCTCAGTGAAAAGCAGCCGAGAACCACGCACAGGAAAGTCTTTTTTCACTGCCAGACAAACTTCCCTCTGCCCAGCTCCAATAAGGTGCCAGGTCTCCACGGCTCTGCATCTTTTCCTTTGCTTTGTTTTTTGCTTTTGCTTTTTTCTTTTTCTCTCTATTTTTTTAAAAAGTACATTCCTCTGTGAGATTTATCTTGTTAAAATGCTGCTCCTGCAGCAAAATGTCACTGAAACACTGTTTCTAGGTCCCCAGCCTACATATGAGCAAAGTGCTTTTTTTTGTTGTTGTTTTTGTTTTTTTATACAACAAATTGTAAGTTTCCCTGGACACTTGGTAACCAAGCAGGCTTTAAAGTGCACTCCGGTGTCTGAACACTAGGACCGTTCAGCAGAGCTCTGAGAGGGGCTGGGCTCAGTTCCATCCTCCGTGCTGCTGTCTACATCCTGCTCCATTGCTGTCTCATCGTCATCCAGCTGCTGACTGGTGAAGTTGTTCAGCTCAAGAAGCCCACTGGGCTCCACCACCACGTTGGAGCTGGAGTGACAAGGAATAGCATACTGGGGAATGGCCTGGAAGAGAAGACGCAGAAGAGTGTGTTCACGGTGAAAAAGGTAACAGGACAATGTGTCCCTTACCCCAAGCGGAGAGAAAGCTGGCATGGACTGGATAACCTCCATGACAAGTAACAAGCACTGCACCAGATCTCACACACAGCATTCTACTGCATCCGGACAATGGTGTATGGAAACTACTGCTCCATGTTACAAGCGAGGAAACACGAGGAAAGAGACATCCTCAAGGTCACACAGCTGTCAGGGTTAATGCTAGATCCAACCTCAAATCCCATACAACTCAAAGGGGTCTTTGCATTCATTTATGGGGCCTCTTCTAACAAAGAAAGCTAAAGTCTACTCCAAAATCAGAAGGTAGGCTTTTTGTTGTTGTTGTTGTTTGTTTTTGTTTATTTGTTTTTCAGACAGCCTTTGTTGTCCTGGAACTTGCTCTGTAGAACAGGCTGGACTTGAACTCAGAGATCCACCTGCCTCTGCCTCTGGAATTAAAGGAGGGCGTGTGCCATTGCTGCCCTGCTCAGAAGGGAGGCTTTAAAGAATATTTTCATCTTATCTTTAAGTGAATTTTATCAGTTTTATTTTCATTTTTTGAGATAGGATCTCACTATGAAGTCCTGGCTCGTTTAGAACTCACTATACAAGTAAGGCTGGCCTCAAACCCACAGAGATCCATCTGCCTCTGCCTCTCAAATTCTGGGAATAAAAGCATGCACCATCACATCCAGCCTGAATTGTGCCATATTTCTGTTCTTTATAACTTTTGTGGGGGGAGGGGCAGTCTCATATAGCCCAAGCTGGCCTTGAACAGACTGTTAGCTGAGATGACCTTAAACTTCTGATCCTCTTGCCTCTACCTCTCGAGTTCAGGGATATAAGCATGTACTGCCATGTCCAGCTATAGATACTATTCGACAAGGAGTATCAATTATATCATACCTCTGCTCCCAATCTTTGACATGAATGAACTATATTTTCATTCTTACTAATACAACCCAGAAAAATAATTTTCAACTAAGCCATCCCAAGTGAGTACGGCAATCTAAAACCCCAGTTGCCACCATTTACTTCAATAAAATCAGTAACAGTTGCCGTCCGTTGGGCAGACACTGAGGCAGTCACCTATTTTCCTTACCATAGATTTTATAAATTAGGCATTACTTATTCCCACTAGTGATGAGGAAACCAAGGCAAAAGTGTCATTAGTAGTCCAGCCCAAAGTACTAAATGGCAAAGCCAGTAACCCATCCACCACTTCAGGTAAAAAACAAAACAAAACAAAACAGCAACCACAACAAAGCCTTTCGTTAAGAACGATATACTTCACTAAATTCATTTTTAAGGATGGAAACAAAATATTTGAATAATTCAATGGCTACTTTGACTAGCCTTAGTTATCAAGCCCTCATGTTTAATTATGTGTCAATCAGTTAATAAGTCAATTTGTATCCACTCACAGCTTTTGTATCACTGCAAATGAAAAGCTCATTATATGAACTTCGAAGCACTCAACAGTAGCTCTATGCCAATTCTAAATGATCCACCGGTCTGTAAGTGGGAATTCTTAATGAACTAAAATGGGCTGCTCTGATTTGCATACTTTGCAAACTATGTACTGATTTGGGCAAAATAAAAACTGCCAATATCAAGGAAAAAAAAACCTGTAATATCCTGCATTGAGAGATGGAAATAAAACACAACTCCTAAGGGCTATTCTGGACTCAGTTTTAGTCTTCAATCTTAATCTGTAACACAGAATGACTGGTGGCTTTTAGAACAAAGAAGATAAAGATCAAGAAGGTGGGAGGCTGATGAACTGTCCACTGTGATGACAACACCTTAACAAGATGATCAAATAATAACTGACACAGAAGCCAAGTTTATGCTGAATGCCAAGCTAAATGTAAACATGGTTTGGAAGCACACACAGACAACGTGTTTCTGCAGACATTCCAGTTGGCCGAAGTGTAACAGTTTTAGGAACCACAAATTCAGATGAGGAACAAGAACTATTTACAAAGTAGCCCTAAAATTCAGCTGAACAGATGTACACACAGTTATACTCCAGTGTGTCAGACCGAGGAGTATAAAATGTAAGTGTAGGAAGTCACTGGTTTTCTGAGCAAACTTGCTAAGTCAACACAATGCGAACAGGGTCTGGCTATACAACTAAGCTGACACACACAGGCAAGGTCCTTATGGTCACACACTATGCTCTTTAACCACATCTACCAAGTTTCTATGATTGTGTTGTTCAAAACAACAAAAACTAAATAAAAGCCTGTATACTGTAATAGTTTTAAAGCCAACTCAAAAAAAAAAAAAAAAAAAATCTCTACATTTTGCTACCACCTTGAAGTGACTACTCCTGTGACATCCCAAAATGGATCAAACCCACAACACCTCCCATCTACCCAAGATGTCTCATTTTCCTTCCAGTTCTTACCTGGATGATAATTTCTGTTGGGCTCTCTTCAGCTTTCTTTTGGCCTACATTCTGAATACGCATGAACTGGCCTGTCGTAGGCACTCCTGCTGCTTCCATTTTTCTGGTCGTTAGGGGAGGGCCAACAGCAGATGGACTTGAACAGGGCTCTCTACATTTCGTCATCCCTGCCACCACCACATGGGCGGAGGGTAAAGCTCCTGCCTCGCCAGGGAGCACACTGGTGGCTAGAGCCTTCTTTGGGGGATCCACTACCATATGTTCTATATTTGTATCAATCTGAGCTTCCATCAAAGACATTTGCAAAATGTCTGACACTGCTGTCTTCTCAGAGGCCTGAATGGGAGATATGCTTGTAACTGGTGATGTCAGCTTAGGAACAGAACTGCCACCAGTTATCTTTGTAACTGTGGGAGGCTGGCGCCCCTCAAATGTTATCTTTGTAACAGAGGATCCTTGGGTTATAATTGGCTGCTCCACCTGAAAACAAATTGGGGTTGTGTGTATTATAGCTAATCTCTTTGAGGAAAAACTAATCAAACACTCCAGAAAATATGGTAAAAAAAAACATTCGTGCGGTACACTAGGAAGACATTTTGAAGCTCGATGTTTTAGTAAGAGGACTGGATGGGAAGGATCTGTTTTCTTTTAAGGAACCTAGGGAAAGAGGAGGGGTTGAAAGAACCTTTGTTCAGCCAGCCAAGCTTTGAGGCAGTAAAGGAAAAAAAAAATACAGCAGCCTAGTTTTCCTTTGAGATTTACATCCCTAGATACCTTCAACCCACTCAAACGATTTCACATAATCTGTTTTTAAAATTAAAAGTGAGTTGAATTTTTTCAATCTTTTGCTTCGAAGTACAACTGTACAAACATATTCTATATATGTATTTGCAATATACATACACACACATATATAAAGTCAATCCAGAATCATCAATCTTTGCTAATAAATTTTCTTTTGATTTTCCATTTATTTCTTCTGTTATCTAGACGATAAATCTAGAGGGTAAATTCATCAACTAGACGGTAAAGATGTAAACTAGAAAGGAAGATAGATGGTCAATGATGTTCCTTAAAAGACTGCAGTTTGCTTAGCATCACTGTCACAGAAGTAAGAGTTCATAAGCATGGAGGTATGGCGCTACCATTTTCATGCACTGCTGGTTACTGCTAAAAGTGATTTCTTTAGAAACCTCCTGGAAAAGCACCGTCTGAGAGCTGTGCTTTCCTCTCCATCAGTACGTGCACCTCTCTCCTAAGACACACCAGCATGATGAGGCTTTTGGGTTCCTCTTGCCTGGAAAAAGCACTGCTGGCATGTTACGGCTGTGGTGGCAACCTTAAAAAAACATCACCTACCCCCGTTCCCCAAGAACACAGAAGTTAGCTTTGCATGCTATCAAAATTCTGTTACCTGGCTTGTGGGTTGTTTCTCTGATGAGGTGGGGAGCGCCATTTGGCTCTGGGGAGTTTGGGGTTGCACGTAGATTTTTGGTTGGTTCGGAGCTTGCTGCAGTTTAGGAAGCTGCTGCGTGGTTTTCACGGCAAGCACCTGTACTACAGTTTGTGGGGGCTGTGCCATTAAGGTAGGAAGCTGCCTGTCTTTGGCCACCACGGGATGCTGTGTGTGCTGTGCATCTGGCTTAGGCTGTGCTTGTTCCTGCTGGAGAGGCGTTAGTTTCTGGTGCCTGATGGAGAGCTGGGGCATCTGCGTGAGTTTGTGCTGGAGTTGGTCTGCCTGCAGGTGGATGGTCTGCTTCTGTTTGGTCTGGAAGCACTGTAGAGTTTTCACTTGCAGCTGAGTCTGTTCCAGCTGGGGCTGGCTAAGTTTCTGCTGTTTAGTTGACTGCGATTGAGTCAGGGCAGATCGGTAAAACAGACCTGTCTGAGGGTCCAACGTGTCCATCTCTTCAACTTCACCCTCTTCAGTTCCAAGTTCCTCACTGTGTTTAGTAAAAGCAGTGTGACTGCTTAATGCCTAAGTAAGAGACACAAAGTAAGAATAAAATAAAACAAAACCACCCACAGTGTCACATTTTTCTTCAACTGGAAAATATTTGAGATTCATTCCAATATTTTTAGAGGAGCCTAGAAAGGCCACAGAGCCTCACAGGCTTTTAATCAAAACTTGTAATTTGAACTCTCAGACAGTTAAGTACTTCAACACCCAGTACACTCACTGTAGGGAAAGTCCTGGAGAACTCAGAACTTAGAGATCAGAGAAATAACGTGACCTCACAGCTCATAAGGAACAAAGAGGCTCCCAGCTTGGGAGCCACGCTGCAGTCTGTGCTTGAGGGACGCTCCCCCGTCTAAAGACAAGGCAACAACTGAGGGATGAGGCATCCAGAGCAAAACCAAGGCTTGGGAAAACCTACTTTGGCCGCATGCATGCCCTTAGTCCCCAAGGCCAGGTGTACTGTCTGGGAGATGTGTCCACCCTAGGGTCCACAGCAGGCCTCCCTGAAGAGAGGCTGTGTCACCAAGGGCTGTCCAGATTCACCAGGCTACATCTTCCCAGAGACCTGGTTCCTGGGAAGGAGTTAGCCAGAGGACAAGGCATTCCTCTTCCCAGGCAGACTGATAGCCTGGGGCCAGCTGAGATAGCAGTGGGAGGAGATGTCATTTTGAGTGACACTTTTAAAGCCAGCCTGTCTGACCTGTGTGTGTCCGGAGAAAGATCAATGCCAGGACCTACCAGTAAAGGACAGACTAGCATCTGTCACCTATCAAAATCTTTAGACACATGGCTTTCCCTAGGGACACAATAAAATCCACCTTATCCCTAACTCTCCCATTGCCCTGTCATACACTACACCACTACTCTACCTTCAAAACTGGAACCTACCCTTGTATCAGAATGGCTTGATACACACACAGTTTGGATTCAAGACCTCTTCACTGTCTTTCAGTAGGTCACATAGTCAGGTTTAACTGCTGGCTGGACAGGGAGAGACTTTGGGGAAGACTAAGGAGTCATGGTTGAATCTGACACACAGGATGAAGTTATGTGGCAGAATTGTCACTATGGGTTCAAATCACGACTCTGCCACCTGGAGCAAGTTACATGACTTTGGAAAGTAAGATGGATGATATACCCACTTTTCAGAATTATAATGAAAATCAAACAAATGAATGTACTTATAGCTCAAAGCATGGTATCTTATACAAATCAACTTAATGTAGCTTTCTTTTTCCTCTAGCCTTAAAGGAGGCATTTCTATCTGTTATTAGTTCACTCCCTTCCTGTTGAGTCTTCTTTTATTGGTCACATATAATTAAAGGAGTACAATATTTACTTCCCTTCTTGTTCATAATAGTCTCATGGGATTATTATAAAGTATAAAATAAAGGCAAAAACATACTCAGCAACAAACAGCTAAACAAGCCAAATGTTATTTCATTTTGAAAATCTTATTTACTCCACTAGTAAATCTTTATTTAATAGTAAGAGACACAGAAACA